AATCTTGGGAGTATCGTTGCGTGTGTACTCATGGCTGGTGGAAATCTAATACCGGGAAGCTTACCAGTGATTGACGGGAAAGGTTACAATGATTGATACGTAAAAATAGAAGTGATTCTTGCTTTCCAAGAAATTGATGAAATCGTGAAGGTGAGTTTCAAAGAACCACGCAAGAACATTGATGACAAAGCCAAAAAAGAATTTAAAGAGATGAAGAAGTTGAACTGCAAAGCTCGGGTATTGTTACATCAATGTGTTGCTACCAATATTTTCTAGAAAATGTTTAGGATATCTTGCATAATAGGTATGAAAATTCTAGAAAAATCAAGAAAGTGAAACTACAGTCTTTAAGGAGGCAATATGAACTCTTTTCCATGACCGAACAAGAGACAGTGGCTGAATATTTTTGCAGGTTACAAGTACTTACCATTTTCATAAGAACTGTGATGAAAGCATAGAAGATTGCAAGATTATGGAGAAAGTTTTCAGAACTTTAACTCCAAGGTTCGATCATATTGTGGTTGTCATAGAGGAATCAAAGGATTTTAATGTTATGACAGTAGAAGAATTACAAAACTCTCTTGAAGTACATGAACAGAGAGTGAATGAAAGAAAGAATTGTGAAAATGTGGTAAAATAGGCCTTACAAGCCAGGGTTGGTCAGAATGGAAGAGGTCGTAGTGGCTGGAGAGGAAGATGCAGAGAAAGAACTAGGAGAGGAAGATTTAGGAACAAAAATGGAGGTAGAAATGGTGAACCAGTATCCCAAGAGTAGTCTGGAAATTGTGGGAATGAAAAAAGAGGAGGAAGTCAATACAGAGGAAAAGGAAGAGGTGACAGAAGGCCCTATGATAAAATAAAAATACAGTGCTACAACTACAACAAATTTGGTCATTATTTGTATGAATATTGGCAAGATAATACTTCAAAGAATGGGCAGAATGGAGAGGAAGTTAATCTGGTGCAAAAAGAAAAGGTGGCTCTGATTTAGACCAAGTACTGTTGATAGCAACAACAGCCAGTGAAGAGGATAACACATCGTGGTACTTAGACACAAGATGTTCTAATCATATGACTGAAACGAAAGTTGGTTGATGAATCTCAACACATGTGTGAAAAATAGTGTTAAATTTGCTTATAAGAGTTCCATTGTGGCAAAAGGAATTGAGAAGGTGATGATTACATGCAAGGATGGAAAGGTTACCTACATGAATGATGTTCTATATATCCCAAGCATGAAAAACAATTTGCTCAACCTAGGAAAATTATTGGAGAAAGGTTAACTATGAACATGCAGCAGAAGTTGATTGAAATATTTGATTCACAACAGAGGCTAGTAATTAAGGCACCACTATCCAAGAATGGGACCCTTCAAGGTGAATTTGGATGCCACTAAAATACAGTGTCTATCAACAACTAATGTGGAGGAAGAGGAAGAGAGTTAGTTATGGCACTATCGATATGGTCATTTGAATTTCAAAAGCTTGAGGCATCCCAACAGTAGGCAAATGGTGAATGGACTGCCACAAATTCAGTTATCAGTCAAGGTTTGTGAGGGTTGTGTAATTGACAAACAACCCATAAAGGTTTTTAAAACCTCTGCACCAAAACGGGCTAGGAAGGTATTGGAGGTTGTGCACTCAGATGTGTGTGGTCCTCTAAACACACCATCACTTGGAGGAAATAAGCATTTTTCTCACCTTCATAAATAAGTTTCAAGGAAGATTTGGGTATATCTACTAAAGGAAAAGGGAGATGTTTTTATGTATTTTTCAAATTTTATGCATTAGTGGAGAGACAAGCTAAGAAATGTTAAAACATTCTCAGAATAGATGGAGGAGGTGAATACAAGTCTAGGGAATTTAGTAAGTTCTGTAAAGGAAAATGAATGGTACATGAGGTGATTGCACCCTACACACCATAACATAATGGGCTAGTTGAGAGAAGGAATAGGATGTTGTTAGACATGACTAGATGTATGCTACAAGGGAAAAATATGCCACATTGCTATTGGGGAGAGGCAGTAACCACTATTGTCTATATTTTTAACAGATGCCCTATGAAGAGAATGAAGACAATAGCACCAGAGGAGGCATGGTCTGGGGTCAAACCGTATGTGTAACATATGAAGGTGTTTGGTTCAATATGCCACAGATATATCCCAGGTGAAAGGAACAAGAAGTTAGATGATAAGAGTGAGCCTCTTATCCTAATTGGCTACCATCCAATAGGTGCCTACAAGTTGTATGAACCAGTTAAAAGACCGGTGGTGATTAATAGAGATGTTGTTGTGGATAAGGCAGCCTCTTAGAGCTGGAAAGATAATGCAAATACAGTATCACATACGTGTTTTAGAAGACAAAGTTGAAACTCCAACTGTTGTGCCAGACAGCAGAAGAGCACAACAGACAAGATTTTCTTCAACCAAACTTGTAAATCATGAAGTATATGGTGATGATATGATGACATCAACTGGTGATCTAGTTCATCAGGCACTTATGGTTGACACAAAGTCTATCACATGGAGAGAGGCTTTGAAAATCAGGGAATGGAAGGATGTTATGAAAGAGGAATTGGAAGAAATTGAGAAAAATAGGACGTGTGGCTTAGTTAATTTACCACAAAATAAAGACTATTGATGTGTATTGGGTCTTTAAACTAAAGCTGAAACCAGATGGATCTGTGGCTAAGTACAAGGACAAATTAGTTGCAAAGGGATTTTTGCAATAACATGGAATTGACTATACAGAAGTATTTGCTCTTGTAGCAAGGATGGAAACTGTGAAGTTGGTCACAACAGTAGCAAGCTCAAAGGATTGGAAAATCAATAAAAGGGATGTGAAATCGATATTTCTTAATGGTCCAGTAGAAAAAGAAGTTTATATCTTACAACCTCCAATTTTCAAAGTGAAAGAAAAAGAACACAAGGTATACAGGTTAAGAAAGGCTTTATATGTCCTTAAGCAAGTTTCAAAAGCTTGGAACAGATTGATAGAGACAGTACTGGTCAGACATGGCTTTGTCAAATGCACATTGGAATTTAGGATTTATGTGACAGTTACACTTCACAGACACATACTTGTTGTATGTTTGTATGTGGATGATTTAATTATCTTATATAGGAAATGTGGATATTGAGATAGAAGAATTTAAAGAGAAAATGAAGTTCGAATTTGAGATGACAAATTTAGGCCCCCTAAACTACTTTCTTGGGCTGGAATTTGTGTATGAGGAATGCAATCAGGTTGTAATATCAGTTATGATTGACCTAAAATTGACTGAAGAAAAGGGAGCAGAAGCTATTGATGCAACCCTATACAAGCAAATTGTAGGATCTCTTATATTCCTATGCAATAGAAGACCAGACTTAGCTTTGGGGTAGGCTTAATAAGCATATTTATGCATGATCCTAAAGTCCCTCACATGGCTGCTGCAAAGCACATCTTGAGGTACTTAGAGGGTACTACAGATTATGAATTTTTGTTTCCTAAGGCATGTGAACAGAATGAAGCAGTGTTGGAAGCTTATTCCGATTCAGATTGGTGCGGAGACAAGGTGGAGAGAACGAGCATTTATGGATATCTATTTACGTACCTAAATGTACCAATTTCGTGGTGCTTTAAGAAACAGAAGGTTATAACTCTCTCTTTGTGTGAAGCAGAATACATAGTTATAGTTGTATCTGAGACAACTTTTAAGAGTCTATGGTTGGAGGTACTACTGGAGGAGTTAAAATGATTTACCAGAAACTAGTTCAGCTACACATTGACAACAAATCAGCTATCAATTAGGGCTTTTAGATTAAGGGGGAGTGTTGACCGTTTAATCCAAAATTAATTTAAGATTTTGTTATTTTGTTAGGAGCAAAATCAACTCATATAAATATAATTATTTTTTTACTATAAAATAACTAAAAGTTAATAAAAGAAAAATACTTATTTTCTCTCAATGATTATTTTTTCTCTCGCATATTTTTTCCCTTTCCTCGTATCTTGTGAGTGTATGTACGTCATCCTTTAGAAGCAGGAGTTGTCCTACATAGAAAAAGAAAAAAAAAGATTGGTTGGAAGGGAAAAAATATGAGAACAAAAATAATTGGTACGTACGTCTATATATAAGAGAGATCATAATTATCTTGTGTGGTGTGTTTGAAAAATAAAGAAGATATTTTCTCCTAATAGATGAATTTGAGCTTAAGTGCATAAGCACTATTCGAGGCCCAATAGGGTCATGGTTCTTTATGTTTTTTCTTGGTTCCATCGTTATATATTATATGCACAATTTGTCTATAATTTATCTGCATACAAGAGGAATAATGGAACCATGAAATTGGATAAAATAATTAAAGATGGTAATGAAAAATCTTCTTATATATAACTGTAATGAAATTTCAGATCAATTAGAAAAACAATAATATTATAATATATAAATAAATATAATTATCAACAAATTAATTTTTAAAATGTAGTTAGTATCTAACCTATGGTTAAACATATCGGTGAATGCTCAACTTGAATTCGACCAGTTTTGAAACATTTCTACAGCAGTTACTTTACGTGTTTTGAGGGTTTTATTTTACGTGCACCATGATTATAAGTAACTTCAATATTACAGTTCCAAATTATTTCACCTTGGAAGTTGAAAGTGATTTCAATATAAAGTATATACGTGAAAAATTCAAAGAAAGCAAAGTAACTTGAATTCGTTCTCAATTTCCTGGCGGACCCGGTAAAGAAGTTTTGATCATACAAACGCGTGGCACTTTGACTATCACTACAATTCCACTATTCTAGAAATTCTCTGCAGTTTCATTCACTCCAATAGTCCAAAGGAATCAGAATGTTCATTCCCCATTTTATAAAGAACGTACCCTCATTCATGTGTTCTTTCATTTTGTTCCAACTTTTCATTCCTTTTCTGTCTATTAATCGTGCCTTGTGCTGTTTTTTTTCTCTTTTCTGCTCTTTATAGCGTGTGGTCACTGCAGTTCAGAAAAAAAAATGCCCACCCAAAAGTGGTTTATGCTCTTCCTTGCTTGTCTCCTAATAATTGCTCCCAAGTTATCTGTCAACCCTAATGCCGTGGAAGCTATTCGGGTTCTAACCATCAATAGAAACAGCAACCATTTTAAAGGTGAATCTCCCTATATAAATATGTGCATGTTTTGTGCTCTAACTCTTTCTACTTTTCTTATTTCCATCGCTTCATTATGTTTCACTATATATAGAATGAAAGCATATATATACATATGTAAACCAATAATGCATGTTGATTATAATACACGTAGGGTACACAAAGAGTCAAGTTTATTCCACTCTGGGGCTGGTGTGCAAATGCTGTGATGGTAAAGGTGGCGGATGTATAAGCACATGGGATGATGCTTGCTCCAATCTCAAATGCCATCCATGGAAATATTAGGAAATGAGTTATAGACATATTAGGCGCATAAATAATCCAAAACAATATGCCTCATGCATGCACTATGATCATCATATTGTACAACTATATATATCAGCTAAAGCTCCTGCACTTCAAGTAGCTGATTATGTTAATTAATTGTTGTTATCATTAATAAATATTTTTATAAGAATGACTTTCTTTAACAACTTATAAATTTTAAGATTAGTCGTTGAATAATGATTGAAAAATATATCACATATAGAGAGAGAGTTATGCTACAAGTTGCAAGCTTGGATACAGTACGTACTAACTGTGATTTTTTATGTTCTTATCTGAAACACTTTAATTAAGGCATGTGGCTTCGTCAAAATTCACATTATAATTCATTCGCACAGTTTGAAAACATACAGGAAAAGTTAAGAAAAAAGACCTGTAATCATAACCAACCGTGATTGTCGGCAAAACCTTGAATTCATTTTATTTTTTATTTATTAGATAACCCCTCAGATTAAGATATATTTGACATGTTTGAAATATGAAGCATAAAATGGTTATCTTCCATAAGAAAAATGCTAAAAATACGAATTAAAATAGATGATATGTAGGGAGAGCCCAATCATTTTCTTGATTCATCCTTGAATTCGTTTCATTTTAAATTTAATTATTTAACAACAAAGCCTAAGGCTTGAGGCTTCGTCAAAATTCGTATTACACTCATGCTTATATTTAGCATTTCTCTTCCTCGAGAAATCAAAATGCTGATAGGATACCAATTGGGATTTTGTTAAACCACCCTTGAATTTCTTTTATTTTTCATTTTACTATTCGACAAAATTCAACTATATAAAATTTTTAATTAGTTAGTTCAAATTTAACAATTCATCTACCCAATACCCATATCTAGCTAAGTCATTTTGACAAATATTTTAAATAAGAGAATTCCGACTTTCTAGTATTTTCTACATAAAGCAATAGTGTATATGAAATATTTTTCCTTCTCTTCCGGTTAAGATGTAAGGATTGTCAAACTAGAAAATTCATTTCCAAATTTTTTAATTAAGGATAATTTTTCTGACTGAGGAATTTAATATAAAAAAATATAATAACAATGAGATATTAGTTGAACTCAAATTCACATCTTTTAACTTAAAATTTTAAGATATTTGATTATGTTTTGTCTTTATATATTATTCAAATTTTTATTTAATGTGTAACTCAAACTTATATTTAAATTTTTCAATAAACAGTTATATGTAGAAAGAATTCCATAAATAAAAAATAAAATTAATTTAAATTTTATTTATGTTTGGGTTGTACAGAAATTTGTGATAGAAAATATTTGATGAACGTCTATGATACTTTTAGATTCTTTATGGAGCACCTGGACATGCTGTTGGACTTCTTTGGGCTGCTAGACAGAACAAAAAATATTTGCTCATGAACTGTAATGAAAGACTAAAGAGATTAAAGTGAAATTTTAGGCTTAATTAACACAAACTCCTCTAAAAAAAATTGGCGCTCGTATAAGCGATGTGTTCTACCTATATGAGTTACAATGCGCTTGTATTTTTTGATAATATTTTATCATAATATGAAAATAATTTAAATTTTTGTTTATCTCTTCAATGGATATTACGTTATTATTATTTATGCTATTTCAAGAATTTGTTATGCTTAGTGTGGATCAATGTCACTATTTTTCTCTGCATCATTTACTAAAATGTGTATTTGTCTAAAATAATGTCCTAAATAAGTTTTTAGTTTATAAAGTTATTTTAAGACTTAAAAGGGTGAATACTTAAGTGTTGAAGTACTTAAAAAAAGATTTTACTAAAATTTGTCCAATATTTCACTACTTAAAATATTATATAATATTAAAAATATACATTTACTAATTCATTCACAATTAAAAATACAATTCGCGAATCAAATTGGTTTGATTTTTTAGAATATAAAGTATTTTTTATGAAAATAAGCTGAAGATAAGATGTAATTTCACCCCTCTAAATCAATTTTGTAATTAAAATAATTATCTCGAGTAAGAATACAAATAATTTATAGTTTTCAAGTTAATTTCAATATTATGAATATTTTAGTAAACTAAATTAAAACCTATAGTCAAATTGAGTATTCAGGATACTAGTGAATATTAAAAAAGATAATTATATTTTATAAATAAATAAAAATTCAAATGAATTACATATTTAACGGATATTAGAAGTACTCCATTAAAATTTAAACCGATGTAAAAATACTTTTTTAACGTTGATCATATCATTAACTCATGCAAAATCACGACATTATCTCACCCCAAAACACACACTTTTACTTAACTCTCCTCAGTTAATCCAACCTGAACCAAACCAACAGCCACCACCATTGTCTCTTCCTATGAAGTCTGAGCTGCTGAAGTCCTGCCCCTTCAACATCACCTATAAGCCACCAATTTGAGGACCCACATCTTGTGAACCAAACCCCACACCCATATTTAAGGTATGAAAACATAAAGTTTGTACTAATCTATAACTTTTTTTTTTCATTTACAAAATTTATTAAATTTAAAATATTTATTAAAACGAATATCTTTCCATCAAAACCTAATTCCAAAATATCAAATTTTGGGAGTGGAATGATATGAACTTCATTTGGATAAGGGCTGAGTTAGCATCTTTAGAGTTAGAACCTTGTAGGAAATTTAGGAAATTAGTAAAAAGGTGAATTAGAAAGTGGTAAAAATTTCAGGGTTTGACAAGTATTTTTAAAACGTCGATATCCCAAGTTATAAAATTCTGATTGAGGTGATTAAAAAATTAGGTGAAAGTTCTCGTTCTAAATTTCAATTTAAGCTCAAAAAAACACTCAATTTGGACAAGTAGAACAAAATTTATGACCACGAAATAAATCTGGACAGAATTTAATTTTTGAGTTCGGTAAAGAGAGGACAATAAGTGAATGTGAAAGGTTAAAGGAAAAAATTACTCTTCCCAAAGGAGACAACTCACAAAGGATGTGAAAGTTATTTGATACAGATCAAGGGTTCTTGAATCACTCAAAAACTTAGGAGAATCACTCTCACCAGAATAAAAGAGCTAAACTCTAATATTTCTGAATAAAATTTTACTTTTTTTTATATAAATGGTTCAACTTATATATAAAAAGCTTTTGCGATTAGAGTTACAAAAGCTCAATAAAGGAAAACAAATCCTAATAATGATCTATTAATTTAGGAATTGAAAACTATTTAATAAAGACAAATAAATGTTAATAATGATCCATTAACCGAAAACTATTTAATGTTGATTGTAACTAAAATTGTGACAACCAAAAGTTAATAAGCTATTTACCATTCTAAAGGCTTGATCCCTAAATTTTCAATTGTGCACTTATTACAACTTGAAATAAAACCAAATTAAAGTTCATTAATTAATTAACCCAAAATATAATTTGGTCAAAGATTGAACCATTATTTAAATAAACTTAAAGACTGAAACAAAGTGACGCATTAATCCTCCATCTAGGTCATGATTTAATTCATAACTTTGGTCTTTTCTCCTTGAAATATGAGCGTGTATTCAAATAATATGGATAATACTTGTTGAAAAATTTCCTTTATTTTTTTTATTCTAACTTCTATTATAGATCATTGAAGTCCTTCAAATGGATGTTTGTTATTGTTCAGGTCATGTGTCCATGAAGGTGATAGTTCTGGCTCGTTAAGTGTTTATCACTAGTGGAAAAATAGCATTCTATGACGAGTTTTTATCACGGTCGTAGTTCACCCGTCATAAGTATGTAGCGCGGTGGCAATTTTGTAATTAAATCATAAACTTTCTATGTCGGGTAAATTTTAACCGACATAGTAAGTGGAAAGTTCACTTTCTATGTCGGTTAAAATTTACCCGACATAGAAAGTGAACTTTCTATGTCGGTTAAGTTTTACCCGACATAGAAAGTACTTTTTATGTCGGTTAAAATTTAACGGACATAAAAAGTACTTTCTATGTCGGTTGAAATTTAACCGACATAGAAAGTGTATATTAAATAAAAAAATTAAATATATAAGTATATAAATATTTATATATCAAAATATATAAATATATTTGTATTTATATATTTTGTATATAAATATAATTTATTTGTAAGCTATGTATCGTAAATTCGTAGTAGTTTAGTGGTTGGAGTATCGGTCTCCAACTCTAAGGTACTTTGGTTTGAATCTTGTTAGACACAAAACTCTTGTCCGACGTAAAAAGCTCATTTTAACCGACATTAAAAAAACCTTTTTTGCACTAGTGTATTTTTCAAATTATTACATATATGGCCAATTTACTTTCTCGCAACTCTTGCCTTTTTTAACAACGATGAAACAAGTTTGCCATTTTGATGATTCTGAAAATTTGAAATGGGAGGTCCTGGTTTTATCAAGATCACGCGGATGCAAGAAAGTAATTCAAACTAGTTTTGAAGTTATTAAAAATTGCCAAAAAAAAAATATAATCTGTTATTTAAAATATTGATTAATTCAAACACCACAAAAATATTTAGAAGTGAAATTTTAGTGATAGATTATAATAGGAATAAGGAATTAAATTATCCTTGGGGAAGGGTGGCCAAAAGGGGAGGCTTCTGTGTTAGTGTGTTTGAAAGAGAACCTTCCAGGACTTGGTGGCATATTCCACAATACTAACCCTTCCGACAATATTTGATGTGAAAAAGTACTTTAACTTTGTTCCAGAATATATTACCCTCCACGAAATTCTCTCATGCAGGTCCTTATCCTTAGTTATCCAAAACGAACATAGAGAATGAAGGGAATTCTTTAAGTACACCAATGTATATATATACTCTTATTGTTTAAATTCTCTTACGTCCCTTCTATATCCATGTCCTTCTGTCCACACTTTAGACCCTCTTTAAGACCATTCCCCATGTGCCCTTTACCAACCTTTATTTAAGCCTATTAACTTTGATTAACAACACATAGTATGATCTTATCCTTAGTTAAGGATATTTAAAAG